TGGGATGTAGACATGGTTTTCCCATGAATGAGGAAAACTCAGATAAGGAGTGAGATCCAGCTGCTTAGTGTCAAGGACAGAGATAGGTAGTCTTTACCCTAGGTCATTGTGTACCAGCATCTGTGTCATAGAGGAGTCACCAAGGTCAAAGACAGTCCAGTGAGTCCAAGAAGGTCACTCACTAGTCAGGAGGTAAGATGGAAACCACATGTGAAGTACAGGGAAAAGCACGATCATAGACAGTGTGACTGGTCAGTATTCTTGATCTTAGGGTTCATCCCCATTGCCTGTGGAGCTTACAGGTATGTGTGGTGCTGGACCCTGTCCTCAGCACTTCTGCGTCAGTAGGTCCAGATTGGAACCTGGGAATCTCTGTTTCTCACAAGCTCCTGGATGATGGCAATGATCCTCATCTATGGACCATATTTTGAGAAACAGTCAGTTCCGGAGACAGGTAATAGCACCTGCAGTGATAGTTTATTAACTTGTGGAATATGTGTTTGGTAAACTGAGATTTTTATAGGTTGGGGACAAGACAAATACAGCAATTTGGCTTTTCTTTTTTCTTTTTAACTGGCTTTTTTAAAAAGTCAAAAGAGTCTCTTAAGACACAAATCTTTATATGAGGAGCAAAATAAGATTATATTCTTGCTCTATAAATATACACAGAATTTACTCTGTATTGATGAAAGGTGATTTATTTCTTCTTTTGCAGTTTAACAGCTAGTGCAGTGCGCTGGTTAAGCACATATGCTCTGGAAGTAGATTGCCTCAGGTCAGATCTGATTTCACCACTGGCTTTCGCCTTCAGGTTGTGAAATTCTTGGTCTCAGAACTTCCTTTGTAAAATGAGACTTTTATAATTCTATAGGTTTGTTTTGGAGATTAAATGAGGTAGTGAGTTTCAACCACTGGCTGGACTGCTTGGCACATAGTAATTGCTCCCTAATTGTTCGCTATTATTAGCACACCAAAGTAAATGCCTTTGTTCAGGAATGTTACTTTGTATATAATACTTTGGTAGTTATCTCAGGTTTAACCTGACAGGTTCTTCTCTGTATCTATAATTCATTGTAACTCTTTGGCTAAGAATAGCCCTGAGTTGGCATGAAGTTATAAATTATATGTAAACACTGTGCTTCAGAAGTTAAAGTGCATTGTAGATAGCCAGGAATCAAAAGTGGCCTCTGGCAAGTTCAGACTAAGTACAAATACCTCCTGTGGCACAGTGGTAAGAAGCATCAGCTGTGAGTGTAGGTTGCCTGGCTTTGTGTTCTAACTCTGCCCTTTAGTAGCTCTGTGACCTTCATCAAGGTACTTAACCCCTGCTGCCCAGAATCATCATATCTGAAATGGTGGTAATAATAGTGATACCCACTTCAGGGGGCTGTGATAAGAATACATGAATATGTCTGCATACACACATGCACAAGCAGATCATACATACAAAATGATTAGTCCTATGAATTCAACAAGCAAAGTACTTAGGACCCGGGCCTGGCACTAAAATAACACACCTCTCTAGTTTGCTGGCATTCATATTTGTTTTATATACAGGTATATTTTGTCAGAATTTTGTTTGTAAGGAAAACTAGTCTAGGGGGCTGGGGATTTAGCTCAGCGGCACAGAACCTGCCTGGCAAGTGCAAGGTCGTGAGTTCGATTCCTGGTACTGGAAAAAAAAAAAAAAAAAAAGGAAAACTAGTCTGAAAAATTGTTATTTCCTACTGCTCTAGTACAATATAGGACAGCACAGCTCTATGATATATTTATAGAACTGGAAACAAGCATTATCTTAAACTATATAAGAAGGTAAATGTCTCTCTCCATTCTTTCCATAGCCTTCTTAAAAACATAACTGGCATTTCAAATGTAACCAGAGTTTGTATCTTTCAGACATTCTAACCTTAAATGATGTTCCTAAATGAGGAGCTTCCTTTCACACTTATAAAATGTATGAAAATGTGTTCTCAAAGGATGTCACTGATTTTATCATTGCCGAGTTCCGCGGCCTTTTCTCCGACTGTCTTCCCCTCAGTCTCGCTTCTGAGTTTGACAGGATTGACCTTCCTCTCGGTACCCTTGAAACTGTCCTTTCCTGGGCGGTCTTAGATACGACTTCTCTCCCAGCCATCACCGCTCTTTCTGCCATGCGCTCACTCCTTTTGCCATCTGCTGTGCTTCCGGGCTGTCCACCAGCACCACGCCTCATCCCGCCTTGTGGATCAGCTTCTTCCGCCTGAGGGGCCAGTGCTTGCTGAGGCTTCCTCTCCCCTCTGTGAGCCCAGGCCTCACACCTGTTCTCCCAGCTCACATCTTGCCTCAGATTCCCAAAGCCTGTGAGCATTTTCACTTGAACTCTTCCTCACCACATCAAAACCGGACTTATATTTCTTTCTGAAATTTTTCCCTTGCTACTTAGTACTTTGAATATCAGAAAAAGCACACCGGGTGCTGTCCCTGAGCTCAATACTCTGCTCTGTCTGATCCATTGCTGAGCGTTCCTGCCACTTCACTGCCATTGTCCTGCTTGGTCACAACCTTATTCCCCTCACACCTACCTCTCAGGAGACAGCAGGCACTGAACCCTGCGACAGCGTTCTCCCCGGGCTTCATCCCTAGCAGCACCTACAGGCCAATCGCCCTCTGAATGGGCTGCTTATCCATTGCAGAACTGCCCTGTTCGCGCTTACATCAAGGGCAGACATCTAGTATTTCCAGTTTCCCTTTAAAGCTTGCAGCACACACTGTCTCCCTTGGGCCCAGCTGCGCTCTGCTGTGGACAAGCCTCTTCCCACGGTGCCGTGAGCACCCTTGTCTCACCACCTGCTTGCCCTCTTGTCTCCCACCTTCGTCTGTGTCAGGCTTATCCTTGTGCAGTAGGCATCAGCTTTATTTCCAGGTGAAGAAAGATAGAAACAATTCTTTAAATATTTTAAATTATATAAGAATATAGAACAGCACCTGAAACAGGAAGAACACACACACAGAGAATATTGCCACTGAAAGAGACCAAAGGAAAAATGTGTCCCAGTCCCCTTATTATACCAGTGAGAGCTCTGAACAACTGAAATGGATATTTTAAAATTTAATGGCTGTATATTTAGATTTATGATTCCTTCTGTTCATAGCAAATGATGCCATTGACATTTTGAAAAGTTTAAATGTCCATATGCACAAAAAAAAATTCAAAGAGAGAGGCTTTTGTGTTTCACATGCCAATTCATGTCCGTCTTCCCTGTCGTATTTTGGAAGCTTCAAAAGTCACCATCAAAACCTGTACCTTACAGAGCTTTCCACGGAGCAGTTTAGGCTCCCTGACGACGCTGATTGAATTACAGGCCTCAAAGTGAAGTCTCTGCAGGCAGACACAAACAGATTTCTGCTGGAAGTCTGTTTATGGTGGGCTCTAAAAAGCCGAAATCCAAAATGCAAAAAACTGTAGGTAATGGCAAATAGGAAAGAGGGATCCACTGTGAAGTGTAATTCTGATTTCAGCTTCCAGAGTTAGATCATTGTTTACGGGTTGAGAGCACAGGTCCCACAAGACTATCCACACTTTAGACACCAGTTGCAAGTTTAGGGGACCTCAGAGGCTACGTATAGTCCTAAAGAGTGGTACAAAATCAAGGTTCCCAACAGCCCTTTAGAGTTGACAATTTGCTAGAATAGGTCACAGGCCTGAGCAAAGCATTTTTATTACCATTAAAGCTTTATTAAAAGCACACAAAGTAGGGCTAGTGAAATAAATACACAGGGTGAGATCCAAGAGGTTCCATGCATCTGTGTCCTCAGAATCTGTGTCCTCAGAATGTATCACCTTCCTGGGTTATCAGTACTGAACATATTACAAACCCGAAGCTTTTTCAGGCTTTGGTGTCCAGAGACGGTTTTTTTCTTTTCTTCTTTTTAAATCTGGGTCTCATTCATTACATAGTTTTGTGCATATTCGTTACATAGACTGGTGATAATGGTATCACCAGTACTATTGGAGTCGCGAGCCTGCCTGCATCCCTGAGTTCGGCAGGTCAGGCTGAATTCCCAAAGCTGAGAGCCCTGACATTTTAACTACACAGTGGTCTTTGTGGCTTGGTCAGCTCCCATCCTGCAGCTACACCAGAACGTCTGTAAATTGCCTTAATAGCATAAATGCAGGTGTGACCTCAGGGGTCCACCACGGAAAACAAAGACACTTCCACCACTTGGGAAGTTCTGAGGGTTTTAAGCATCTTCATAGGGACCTGGGACCAAACCAGATAAATTCGTTACTGTGCAACATACCAAAAAACTGTAAGGGAAAATTTACCTAATTCACAGAAAACCACATCAAAAGTATTGTGTTTAGGACAGTAGAGGAACTCACCGGAAAAATTGTCATTTGAGTATAAAATAAATGATCATCAAACATTGTTAGTCTTTACATTTATTTTTCACTCATTCATTTATTCTTCACTCATTCATTTATTCAGCAATATCATGTGCATCTTATGCTGGTGGATAAAAATATATTGTTACATTGTCAGTGTAAAAAATATTTATTTGTATTACATAGAAAAGGGTGAAGATGCACTATGGAAACTACCTGTTGATTTTTACTCCACTCTAAATGAACCTGGGGTGCCTGTTAATCATTGCCTGTCAAGAGTACTATGAGAAAAGCCCCAAAGAATGAAATAATAGGCATCAAAATTTGTGAAGAATTTAGGGAGGCTGGGGCTGGGGATTTAGCTCAGCGGCACAGCGCCTGCCTGGCAAGCGCAACGTCCTGAGTTCGATTCCTGGTACTGGAAAAAAAAAACAAAACAAAGCAAAAGAATTTAGGGAGGTGGGGGTAATAGGAATGTATACTGTTTGCTTAAACGGAAGGTTACTAGTTGGTCTGATGTTTGTAAACAAAATTAAGAACTGCTCTAGAATGTGATATATTGTAAATTGTTCTTTTTTTGCTGTCCTGTAATTGGAGCAACATACTAATTTCTACAAGTTGTGACTACTAACAGAGGGCAATCACCTCACAGACTTGTACCAGAGAGACGAAACCATCCAGGTGACAGGACACGGCCACCTGCAGAGTCCCCGATTCCCGAACAACTACCCCAGGAACCTGCTTCTGACATGGCGGCTCCATTCCCAGGAAAGAACAAGGATACAGCTGTCGTTTGACCATCAGTTTGGATTAGAAGAAGCAGAGAATGATATCTGTAGGTAAGCGAGGAAAAAAAATCCTTTTGAGGGTAATGTTCTAAAGTGGGAAAAAGAAAAGGAAGACGTGTTGGCAACATCACATTAATCATTCCTTTTGAAACCTTTGGGCCTACACCATTGTCCCTTCTTTTTTAAAAAGCCTGTGTCAGACCTCGCAGACAAAGCGACATGGGCTGCTTCTGTGGACGACCTGATAATATGGCACGGCTCACGGAAACGCACTTTGGCGCTGTCATGACCGCGGGTCTCCAAAGGGGGATGGCACCTGGAGTCCTGTGACTTTTCCAGGCACAGAACAGCCATCGCGTCTAGTAGATCCCTCCAACATCCGGGTCACTTGGAGCAGTAATTTGTGGCCCTATTCAAAGCCTGCTGCGCATGTAGGAGGCATACAACCCCGCGGGGCCCTAGGAGCTCACCCAGGCCTCTGTACCCATGACTTCTCTGGCACTCGGAGAAGATGGTGGCTGAGGACCTCATCAGACTTTTACTATAAATTCATAGTTTTAAGGGCTCTGACATGTGGAGGCAAGCCCCTGATCTGTATGCTTCTCAAGTGTCGGTTTCCTTTAGTTTCTGCACCAGGGGTAGAAGATGAAAGCTGTGTCTGATAATCTTCTCCCTTCTTAGCATATTTATCAGAGGAAGTCCAGGCTGTTGTTCTGTGCCTTGTCCGCTCACAGCATCTTACTTGCTTAATTATCATGTGTCAGGCCTGGAGAGGATTTTTTTTTTCCCCTTTTTATACTTTACAGCGTGCATTTGTTCTGCATTGCCAATGAACTACTGAACTGCTAAATCCTTTCAGCAGGTTTATTTCCCTTTGCATAATAAAAAGAGGAGCCTCAAATTCCTTCGTCCTTTGTTGCATGTTTATTATACTGACAGCTTTTATTATGTTGTTATTTTTCTGAGAATAACAACAGTGACTATTACTTTCTAAGACTATAGAGGGTAATGTATGCTGGAAAGCAGAGACAAATACATGCACGGAGAGCCAGTTAATATCTACAAAGAAAATAGACTAAAGCTGATCTTGTGTCTTTTCAACCTTGAAAGGGAGAACTAATTTTCTGTGCTGGCAAAAAAAAAAAAAAATCATTGAAAAAAACTATTAAAGCATCATTAAAGATTGTGACATGGAAGAAGCTACAATCTGTGTCTACCCACAGAACACTTATAGCATCAAATATGTGGGCCTTTCCTCCCTCTCACACCAAGCTAATTCTCCAGTACCAGTGTCCTATAAATCAGTTCAAGTCTAACACTACCTACTACTTTAAATAGAACGTGATCCCAAAAGACAGGGCTCCAACCCCACAAGGTGCCCCACCTTTAATGTAGGTAGCTGGTCACAAGCCCGCCATATTTCTGACCAAGCAATTATAATCAGGGGGTTCCACACACCCTCCTCGGCTTAACAGAACTCAAGGAAGTGCTTCGCTTATTCTTACCAGTTTATTATAGAAAGTGTAAGTCAGAAATACCCAAGTGAGAGAAGTAAATAAAGTGTCTTAGTTACTTTTGTCTTGTTGCTGGGACAAAATATTCTACATCCAAAGTTAAAGGGGGAAAGGTTTATTTAGCTCACAGTTCATGGAGGTTTTAGTGCATAATGAGTTGGCTCCAAGGCTGGGAGGCATGGCGGAGGGGCATCACAGAGGAGCAACAGTTCATGGCAGGCAGAAGGCAGTGAAACCAAGCAAGCAAGGGATAAAACAAGCCTGTTTCTGTCCCTTAATTGTATCCAGGCTGCAAAGATTAGGGCAGTGACAAACCAATCAATAGACTGATTTAGTAATCACATTACTAAATCATCATCCACACTCTACATTCTGCCACTTCTGAAAACCCACCACCTATGACTGCATGAGGCTTTAGGAGACATCTAGAAACAAACCAAAATATAAAGTATATGTGAAGCACACCTTCTTTATGTGTATCATCTTCTAAGGGCTTTCACCAGCACAGAAGCAATCTGAACCCCACAGGCAGGGATGTTTGTGGAGGTTATTATGAAGGCCTGTTTCTTTAAATCATTGACCATGGGTGATCAGGTGCAACCTCTAGGCCCTCTCCACTGTGAAGTGTCCAGGACTGGAGCTAAAAGCTCCAAGCCTCTAATCCCGCCTTAGTCTTCCTGGTGACTTCCTCGTTCTGAAGGTACCTAGGGGCCCACCAAGATTCTGCCTTATTAGAATAACTCAGGTTTGGTTGAGAGGGGCTTATTATAAATAATAAAGAACTTCCTCTCACCCCAAACGACTCAAGAGTTCCAAGAGACTTAAAGTGGGAATCAAGAAATAAAGATCATGTTTATAATATATATATATATATATATATATATATCTGTTACTATACCACAATATCACAGAAGAGAAGTCATTAGTGAGTTAAGGTTTCAAGCCTCACACTGAGCGTGTTCAACATCTTGCCCTAGAGAATGAGACTAAGTGTTAGGATGTATCCTTCCTGGGTCCTTCATTAAATGCAGATGCTCCTCAAAATTTATGGAATGAGGTAGAAGCAGGACTGAAAGGAAGAGGGGAAGAATTGGAGACTTGCTTCAGAATCCTCCCTGACAAAATCAGTGGCTCAATTTTGACTTCAGACTCAGAGTTATAATTAAATTGACATATTTTTTCAAAAGAAAACTGACCTATTGTGTTATTAACAAAATTTCAATTATGTTCATGCTGTATGCAGTAAATATGATTTACACATATTATGTATAAAATGTAATGCAATTGATTTCCTACCATCTGTTCCAAAGCCTCCTTGATGTTTACATTGTAATATTTTATTGCTTGAATAATCATTCTTTGTTAGTATTTTTCACCTTCCAAGCACCACCTAAATGTTAAGTAATTAATTTACAAAGCACCCAGGAGATATCCAGCTGTTAAAATTATATAAGCCGTCTTGTTTTCCTTGTAAGGAAACTGAGGCGAAGGACAGAAAAGTTCATAAATCACTGTCAAAGAAATTTAGTGACAATATCATTATTTCTCACCCACTCCTTAGGTTACCCTTCCCAAACCAGTAAGAGCTCTGGAGTACTTGGGCAAAACTAGTAAATTCATATTTTTTTTTTCTTTCTATTCAGACTTACTGTTTCTTAGGCAGGTTCCTTCTGGTACTTATAGTGGAAAAAATGTAAGATGGACCTGCAGCTTCTGCCACTGCCCACCCTCAATGCCCCTTCTTGGCTGGTGATGTAGCATCTAAAGTCATCTGGGGAAAGGTAGAGATAGGGAGTGTGATTCTGATAACCAGAGCTAAATAACAGATAGTTCAGCCAATTGAGTAAGGTGTTCAAAGACTATAAGGGGTAAACATAGACTAAGTGATCTCTAGGAGATGTAAACTGTGACACTGGAGATGTCCTGCTGTGTAGGGGGATGATAGGAGGGTGCAGAGGAATTTGAAGATCAAAGGGTCCCACAGAATAACTAAATAGCCCTTCATGCTTTCCTCAATCCTAGGATTTTGTTTGTCTGCCCAATGCTCAAGGTGAGCCTGTGGTGTGGAGCACCTTGTGGTCTGGTGTACCCTGTTTTACATAGCTGAGATTTTTTTCGGTATTAGCGCAAATTACTCCCCAAGGTTATGTGCATCCTCTGATAGCAAATCTCATCTTTTCTGATGAGAGCCTGCAAAAAAAAGTTTTTTCAAAAAATAATAAAACAAATCATGTCCACGTTCATTCATCTTTTATAATGAGAATGCTGATTGTATAGGCTATGTAGAAATCCATCCTGCCCTTAATAAAGCACAAATGTGATAAATTAATTCAAAGTGGAGATTTGTTTTAAAAACTTTGTAAATATTTGGGCATATAACTTTAGAAACAGCTAACATATTCCAAGAGATTGCAGTCATTAATTCTTTTGAGGGGGAGTGGGTTTTTGGTTGTTTGTTGCTTACTTTTTGTTTTTGAGACTGTCTTGCTATGTAGTGTAGGCTGGTCTTGAACTCATTATGTAGCCCAGGCTTGCCTCAAACTTGTGGCTATCCTCCAGCCTCAGCCTCTCCGGTACTCGGATTACAGTCATGTGTCACTATGCTTGGCTAGTTTTTTCAAGATTTTCTAAACCAGTTTCTCAGGAAATAGCCCATTTCAATTACTGATGATTGATCTGCAAACAATCATCATTGGATATTTTTTTTCTTGGAGTGGATTATCACAGTTTGAATTGGGAAGGCTTAATCCCCAAATTAGCTTTTATTTCCATTGGTAAGTCTTGAAAAATCATATGTTAGTTTTCATTTTTTAGTGAAGTGGTAGATTTCAAAATATATTTTGACTGAAAGAGTTTGTGTCAAATTGGTCCTAGATATGATTTTGTGGAAGTTGAAGACGTGTCTGAAACAAGCACCATCATCAGAGGACGGTGGTGCGGACATAAGGAGGCTCCTCCAAGGATAACATCAAGAACAAACCAAATCAAAATCACTTTCAAGTCTGACGACTACTTCGTGGCTAAGCCTGGTTTCAGGATGTATTACTCCTTGCTGGTAAGTCATTAAACCACATCATTAAAAGCGCACACTGATATCATGAAATAAAGGGCTCATTCTTTAAAATTCAATATAGTATTGTGCAGGAGAATGTAGTTTATGAATTCCTTATGACAAATATTGTTCTTACCCTATGGCCAAAATGCCTTTAATCATAAGAAATGCTGCTTGGATCTACTCAGTCATTCTTTGGGTCATGCATTTTGAAAGACAACATAGCAAATAGCAAAGGAGAAATAGTTTATAGTAAAGCAGATGTGAAATCACTTTAGATTCAATTGAAGCAAAGTAAATATATAGCAAAACAGAAGGTGTGTGAGTATGGAACAGATTTTAAGAAAAGCTAAACATTTTTTTTTGGTTTGAAAACTTATCCATGAATCTCCTCACAGAAAAAGCATCCTGGTGATTTTCCTGTAAATGATGCTCCAGATTTGGGCAGAGTCTGTTTTAATCACCAAGCCTAGATGTTGGCAGGCCCCTTCCAGATCGTTAGATTCACTCAGGACTCAGGAGCATGAATCCTGTTTGCTACACCCATGCTTATTTGTAGGCTCGCTTCTACTTAAACAGCTCAGCAATCATTTCCAGCTTTAAATGGTTCTGACGGTTAGAAAATGTTCAAGCTCATATTGAGCCAAAATCTACAGTGAGTTAATTTGAGTTGCTGGGTGATACACAATCAGGGATCTTCTTCACTCATTCATTCGTGTAGCATTAAGTACGGATGTCAAAATTGAACACAGTGGCAACAATTTGTTTGGGCTTTATTTTCTTAAGAATTACATTTAAAATAGGAAACAATCTTGCTTCCTTTTTAATCTAATGGGATTTTTTTCATTATGATGAATATTGAACACGAAGTGACTTGTATATCGGAACACTGTAGGTGGAAAAGCTAGCCTGAGGTGACACCGGTTCCAGTTATGATTTGAAAATAACCCATCAAGCATGATTTACATTATTATGCACTCATGCAGTGCTGTTCAGCGTAAAAACTGAAGTATGAACATTTGATTTCTGCATTGCTTTTCCTTCTAATGTGTTTGGTGATGCAGTTTTCAGTCGGTCATGGGCAGAGCAGACTTGGAATTTTAGAATGGTGATAGACAGGGTCAGTGAGAGTTCTTTTTACCTTACAATGCTAAGCTCCATTAGTACTAATGCGTATGCACCCTGGGATGCTTTGGTTATAAGTTGAGTGGTTCATAAATCAATGAGAAACACCCCAACTCTAACAATGTCTTGAAGGCAACACAACTTTGTGGAAGGTGGTACGTATCTGGGCTGAGAGAGAAGGCATGCTCTCATTGGAGCTGTTTGGGGTCATGGTGCAGACTCATCATTCATTTTCTGGACCACCTCTGTAGTGTAGATGTAAACTAACATCACTCATTTACCCCACCGGTATGTGCAATTATGCTTTAAAGAAATAATGGTAGTTGTGATTTTTTAAGTGTTTTCCTGCTGGTCTTCCATCCCTCCTGTAGTCTTTTGCCACTATGTAAGGTCAATTAGGGCCAAAGTACTTTTGTGGCTGAATTCCAAAAGGTAAAATAAGCTGAACTTTACATATGTAGAGACTGTATGTACGGATCTTTGACAAAACTCTGCCGTTTGATGGTTGCTGAATAGGTAATCATCACACATGTCTTGACAACTCTGGTGGGAAAATCATTATCTTCGTGTTTATGTTTCTCTCAGAGAGGCTTGAAAGAAGTATTTACAAACCCAGGAGTCTAGGTTCAAAACTGAAAGTGAGCTCAACATAAATTAATAAGGACACAGTGGGGTTAAAAATGACAAGCCCTCATCAAGTATACTTAGTGATTTTTAGAAAACTAAAACTCTCAAGGGCAAGGGTGGTGAAGCTGTGGCAACTCGCCGTTGGGGCATAAAGAGCTCTCTCAGCCAAGCCAACCCAGCCAAGGGCTGACAAATTATCAGCATGCACACCACAACAAAGATTGCATTAATTGTACAAAAGCATGCCAACTGCAAACTTTTACCTTTCAATAAAAAGCTGTTTGTAGCACTGAAAGCTCTGTGATTGTGTTTTTCTTTTAAGATAAAAGGTGCTAGTGCGTGACTTGTGTTTTCTAAGCTTAAACCTCAGGATTCAGGTTTAATTTCAGCACTGGCACTTTGCAATAAAAAGAGGGCTTTGGGTCGCTGTTTGTGTGCTGGGTCTCTAAAAGGGTCACCACCACTGCTGGTGGAGTTGGACACAGCTCTTATTAAACTCTTACTTTAAGGAATGGCAGGTGATAGGGAAATTTGAGCCTTAAGAATAGTTTCTTAGGGGTCCAAAAGTACCCTGGGGAATGACAAGAAGCTGTAGGAGAGGTCAAGATCCCCTCACTCCTTATCTCTCCTTTCCACTTTTCTGACTCCTACAGAACATCTCTCGTCTCCCTTCCTCTGTAGCTGTCCAGGTGCATGGAGACTTCCCTAAGACTGCATAAGAAGTGTCGGGAGCACCTGAACCCCCTGCAGTAGAATCACATCTGTGCAATCTATGTGCATACACTTTTAGAAAACCCAAGTGTAAATTCTTAGCTCATATTTCACTTCTGCAATCCATGGGAAACTTATGACTAACATTAAGGTAACTAGTGGGGAATGCTTATCTTCTTTTGTTTTTCAATGTGCTTGAAATTTCAATCTTCTGTTGTTTTTTTATAGCACCTATCACAGTCTCCCCCAGAGCGGAAAGCGCAGGTACGTGAGGCAGGGGTTGATGTAAAGCATACTGTGGATTGAAGCAGCATCTACTGACTGCTAGTGATGTGATACTGAATCACTTTTTTACCCACTTTTTACATCTTTAAAATTGGAATTGGTATGAGAATTTAAAATGGTATGAGTACTTAGCCCAGCACCTGCAATATATATCTGTGTCCTCCAAAAAATAAACTTTTGGAGATAGGCTAAGCATCTGTTCCTATACATATTCTAAAGAGTGCTTCCTACTAGAGTATGTCTGTTACATAGACCCTTTAATCAGAAAATATGATTCATAAGAGCCACCTAATTTTATTTTCTTACTCTCCTGTTTGGTCTTTTCTAATTTCACTCCCTTGAGGACAGTAGATAGCTTCAGAATATATAATTAAGCAGAAGGGATAGTGTTATCAAACAGTTCCTAGAAAGATTACCTAAGTACATTAAGATCTTCCACCACAAATCCAGTTTGCTAGGGAGTGAGAGAATGGTTGTTTGGTTAGAAATATTTTGTGAAAAGCACTAAGGCTATTATTGGAAAGCTGTCCAGGGACAAGATACCTGGTGGATAGTGTACAGAGAGTCAGTAGATGTAATTTCAGCTCCTCTATCTGCTATTTCCTCATCTCTGCATAGGGACAAAGATGTCCTGACATTAGGCAGTTCTGAGAATTAAATAGGATAGTTTTTGTATACCACTCTCCCTGAAACCTACTAATTACTCAAATATCTGCTAAGACTATTATCGCTACTGATGGTATTACAATTAATACATCAGGTGATAGGTAAGCATGGTATTCCCGGATTGACAGCCCAGCACTGTGTGTGTGTGTGTGTGTGTGTGTGTGTGTGTGTGTGCATTCTTGCACACTGACATTGATTCACTTCATTCAAGTGGAAGCATGTTTTAACAAACACGAGAAGTGTGTATGTATGTGCATCTGTGCACATGCTTAATAGTAAAGTAGTTTTGTAAAATTCAAAAATAAAGTCATTTAAAAAGTATTCCAAAAATCTGTTTTATTAATAAAGTATGGTTTGTTTCACAAATGGAAATTTGCTAATACCCATTGTTAATGCTTTCTCAGATAAAAAAGCAATTTCACCGGGCCAGTTGCTTAACTATCTCTGCAGTGAATTAACTTCAAGTGGTACAGTTAAGATTTCCATTGAGATTAAAAATTCAAATGAAGCATGGTGTTGCATAGAACTATTTTAAATAGAAAAGGCAGAAAATGGAAAGGATGAGAAGGCAGAAGGGCTGGAGGACAAAGAAGAAGAGAGCCCGGGAGTTGAATAAGATAAGATACTCAGTTCTAATATCTTGTGCAAATTCTAATTTTCAGTATCTCAACTTTGCTAATTAGTGAAATAAAAAATTCTCAGCAACAAAATAAAGGTGGGCAATTCTTCTGAACAATTCTTAAACAAAGCTAGAGAGTAAAGTGACTCTTGCCTTTTCTCTGTAAAATGTGTAGCAATTCCTTCGTAATTAGCAGAGCCAGGTTATTGGGCTTCTGAAAATCCACAGTTGCTCTGGCCATTTCAGTCTGCACTATAAGGGGAGCCAGAGACAGTGAAAGTGTGTGTGGCGATATCCATAGCAGATTCTGCTTATCTCAGTTTCTTCTCCTCAGATGTATCCTACTAGATATTTGGGAGCTACAGTATTGTTTCATAAATGCCTACCGTGAGCCAGACCAGGCATGTCCACTGCCCTGGAAGAAGACAGGCAGTCTCTGGCCTCAGGAACTCTCACAATAGTGGGAAAAAATGCACATCAAACCCATAAGCAGGAAAATAGGTGCATCTGTACAAACATGGGTTGTTTAAGCTCTTTAAAGTTGTATAAGAGAGCACTTGATGAAGAGTGGCTGAAAAGGGGCCCACTCCAGCCAAGAGGCCGAGGAAGATCCGTCCATGTAAACTCGCAACGGTGATTGGAAGTAGTAGAAGGCGCAAGACATGAAAAGCTATGAAAGATGCATTCGTTAGACAGAAGAGCAAATGCTAAGAAACAGAAAAGGCCGTAATGGAAAAGAGGAGGCATCTTCCCTCTGGTAGTAATGATGCCATTGGTTCCTCGGCGTTTAGGCTGTGGGGAGGAAGCAAACAGAAGAGGGAGAAGCACAACTCTAGCTAACTCCTCTCTCAGTTAAGGGTGAGGAAGGAGATCTCATATCCTTATCTCAGTCCATCCTGTTTTGATATATTGTAAGTTTTCAATATGATGGGATGAGACAGCTGAAGCCAGAAGATCAGCTAAGGCAAGATGCTTAAAAGTATCAACAAGACAGTAAACAATGTGTGGACAGAAATGCGGGGCATAGCTAAGGGTCAGGCAGGAGGATAGCAGAGCGAGAGAGCAAACATATGCTCCACAATGCTGGAGTCAATGCTGGTGGGCGCGGCTGGCCAGCCTGGTTGCCGTAATGAGGGTTAGCCAAAGCACACTTTCTTATGGAAAGATTCTCATTGCTGCAACATTTTATAGGTAAGGATAGAGAGGTGTTTTGTGTGTTGTGTTGTGTTGTGTTGTCTCATGTTTTGTTTTGTTTTGTTTTGTTTTACCAATACTAGGGAGTGAATTTAGAGCCTTAACACTGAGCTACAGCCTCAGCCCTTTTTTATTTTATTTTTAGACAGTGTCTTACTAAGTTGCTGAGTTGCCTATGCTGGGCTTAAACTTGGGGTCGTCCTGTGTTGGCCTCCCAGAGAGCTGGATTAGATGCGTGCACCATGCCCAGCTAGGCATTCTCATTTACTATTTCACAAATATTCTATAATTTCACCAGTTAGTGGCCATTGATGAATTAGTATTCTCTGACAAGGTTGACTGAATTGGATGAGTTATTTTCAGCTGCTTGCTCTCCTAAAATATAAATGCATATTCTGAAGTGGGAGAGTGAAGAGCAAACTTTAACATAATCCTAGAGCAAGGGATAACTTGACAAAGAACACGGCTAGGTCCGTAAGAAAATGGTAATGCAAAGGGAGAAAAGGGGAAAGTTAACCTTTTCTGATAGGGCGGGCAGCAGACGAGGAGGAGGTAGCAAAGTGTGGAGAGAACAGCAGAAGACAACAGAGTTGGCCAGAATGGCCCAGCCTAGTCATGCACCTGTCTCAGCATTTCATCAAGCACCTATTATGTGCTATGCACTATGGAATGGTGAACAAAATTCTTATCTTTTTAGAACTTAGAGTTCGATAGTACAATCCTATTACTACTATTACTACTACTACTAAATATATTAGAATAGTATCTAGCATTTTGGATGACCGTGAGGATTAAATATATGAGGATTGTATCATACATAGTACCATAAATAATCTACTGCTAGGAAACCTAGAATTAGAAAACCTAGAATTTCCTCACATTCCCATGAAGACCTGTAAAGAAAAAATATGGAATTTAGAGACACAAAATCTAGAGATCTAGTGCCTACACCAGCCCTGTTATTGCACAAGTGAAGCAATGAACCTAGGTTAGGTTTTACAATTATGCAAATAAGACCACAAATACATAGAAGACTGAAGTTTGGTTGTGGTCATTGAGCTCATACGTACATGTTATCACTGTGACATAAAGCCTGAGACCCACGTCAGACAAACGTGAACACACCCAAAATTGTGCACAAAATTTCAAGAACCACCTTGAATCTCCACGACATCTTACAGATCCATAGGTGCCACTCAGAGCTCCACATATCTGCCTGTCAGTGTTATCTAACTTGGAGATATTGTGTTATGTGCTGAGTGGTCCTTTTTGACACAAGCACTGTTTGAAATAATACTTTACTGCTGTAATTAATTTTCCTCACAAACTCCATATGCTAATCACATGAGCAAAAGATTCCCCTGCGTGCCGAGTAAACACATTTCCAGCTTCGAGAGGGATGATATTTAATAGCACTTGCAAAGTCCAGCATCCTGTTTATCTCGTTTTTTATTACATGGACATGCTGCAAGTAAACTTAGTTCTTGAAAACCAGAAAGCCATAGTGACGTTTAAATGACTCTGTCCCTTTTATACACAGGCAACCTTTTCTGTGTAACTCCACTTTGTGGTGCAGTGATATTTTGGTAGATGAAAAAATGAGAAACATAAAGGAAACAAAGTACTCAGAAAATGGCTTACGTGTTTGAGAGAGGCCTCAGTCAGAGCAGAATTTCTTTTTCTCTTGAAACAATTCTTTACTGAAGTGAAGTTAAATAAAACTATTTTCATCTAATGTTCTCTTATACATCTAACAAGTATATCAGAAGTATACCCTGTAAAAGGGAAGAAACTGAGAGTCCTGAGGGGGAGGTGTGGGCTCAGTTAGAAACCAGTGTAAACTGCTCTTCCACCATGCTTTGGGAGAGGGGCACTGAACTTCGCTAAGGGGGGAATTCCTGAGCTGACTCAGGGAAGGAAGAGCGTCCCAGGAAGAGGTTATCACCTAAATACAGGCAAAGAAAGGCGAGAAAAGGCAGAAGTTTGAGAATATCACAATGAGTTAACTCCCTGTTGCAGGTTAAGGATGCCAAGCACTTAACACTGTTCTAGCTGATAGAAAAAAATATGCAGGAAGCCAAAAGGACATCAAGATAGCAGTTTTATAAATGAGGGTCCCCAAAACAGTGAAGTTTAAGACTGCTTAGTAACACTAGAGTTCAGACCTCAGCTGGGAAGGAAAGCCAAAGCCGGGATGTCTTACTGGAAATGCAAATTCAGACCAAACGATTCTAATAAAAGCGCTGAGGTCAGTACAACATGTGGGTGCAGTTCCTCCTCTTGCTGCGTGGAAGATTACAGTTTTGGTCGCAATGGTTGATAGTCACAAGTGGGCGAGACAGCTGGCGAGGAAGGCAGTTGCTGAGCAGGTAGACTGTGCTGAGCAGAGGGACTGAGGAAGCGGAGGAGAACTAAGACCCCTCCTGGTGGTCAGTGCCAGCAGCAACCATTCAGGAGAAAATGGGGAAGGGGTGTAGGGCAGGAATGGAGAGAGGCGGTT